GTGTGTTCGTGTGATGGCCGTGTTCTGCGTTTGTCCTTCATCTCCAGCGGCTCTGCTAAAGATAACGTTTCCCCCTTTACTCTTAATTATGGATAATAATGTTGTGTCTAATTAATGTCCTCTGTGTTAATGCATCCTGACGTGTTCCTGCCGCAGAGACTCCGGCCTCCTCCTCAGGAATCAGACGTGTGTCACGCGTGTGCGGCGGCGTCTTCCTGCGCTCTTCTGCTCCGTGTCTTCATTAGGACGTTTATCATGTTTTGAGTCAAGCCACATTTATTTCTATAGCACTTTATACAGTACAGATCATTTCAAAGCAGTAAAATTAATCAATTATGAAACTAATTCAATTCTTAACTATAAATCAGCTCTACAGAAGACAATAGAGTGATTATTCAGATCAGTTCAGTTCAATAAAAGAGTCATTGTTGCAGAGTTCAACTATCAAACAAATTCAGTTCTTTGATTCTTAATTCAAATCTTAACTATAAAGCAACTCTACAGAAATCAATCATGCCATAATTCATCTCAATTTGGATTTAATTCAGTTCATTAACAGTCAATGTTGCAGAATTCATCAATTACAAAACAAATTCAGTTCTTTGATTCTTAATTCGAAATTCAATTCTTAACTATAAAGCAGCTCTACACAAGAAAATTCAGCTCATTTTGGATTAAATTCAGTTCATTAACAGTCAATGTCGCAAGAAATCATCTATTATGAAACAAATTAGATTCTTTTGATTCTTAATTTGAAATTCAATTCTTAACTATAAAGCGGCTCTACACAAGATAATTCAGCTCATTTTGGATTAAATTCAGTTCATTAACAGTCAATGTCGCAAGAAATCATCTATTATGAAACAAATTAGATTCTTTTGATTCTTAATTTGAAATTCAATTCTTAACTATAAAGCGGCTCTACACAAGATAATTCAGCTCATTTTGGATTAAATTCAGTTCATTAACAGTCAATGTCGCAAGAAATCATCTATTATGAAACAAATTAGATTCTTTTGATTCTTAATTTGAAATTCAATTCTTAACTATAAAGCGGCTCTACACAAGATAATTCAGCTCATTTTGGATTAAATTCAGTTCATTAACAGTCAATGTCGCAAGAAATCATCTATTATGAAACAAATTAGATTCTTTTGATTCTTAATTTGAAATTCAATTCTTAACTATAAAGCGGCTCTACACAAGATAATTCAGCTCATTTTGGATTAAATTCAGTTCATTAACAGTCAATGTCGCAAGAAATCATCTATTATGAAACAAATTAGATTCTTTTGATTCTTAATTTGAAATTCAATTCTTAACTATAAAGCGGCTCTACACAAGATAATTCAGCTCATTTTGGATTAAATTCAGTTCATTAACAGTCAATGTCGCAAGAAATCATCTATTATGAAACAAATTAGATTCTTTTGATTCTTAATTTGAAATTCAATTCTTAACTATAAAGCGGCTCTACACAAGATAATTCAGCTCATTTTGGATTAAATTCAGTTCATTAACAGTCAATGTCGCAAGAAATCATCTATTATGAAACAAATTAGATTCTTTTGATTCTTAATTTGAAATTCAATTCTTAACTATAAAGCGGCTCTACACAAGATAATTCAGCTCATTTTGGATTAAATTCAGTTCATTAACAGTCAATGTCGCAAGAAATCATCTATTATGAAACAAATTAGATTCTTTTGATTCTTAATTTGAAATTCAATTCTTAACTATAAAGCGGCTCTACACAAGATAATTCAGCTCATTTTGGATTAAATTCAGTTCATTAACAGTCAATGTCGCAAGAAATCATCTATTATGAAACAAATTAGATTCTTTTGATTCTTAATTTGAAATTCAATTCTTAACTATAAAGCGGCTCTACACAAGATAATTCAGCTCATTTTGGATTAAATTCAGTTCATTAACAGTCAATGTCGCAAGAAATCATCTATTATGAAACAAATTAGATTCTTTTGATTCTTAATTTGAAATTCAATTCTTAACTATAAAGCGGCTCTACACAAGATAATTCAGCTCATTTTGGATTAAATTCAGTTCATTAACAGTCAATGTCGCAAGAAATCATCTATTATGAAACAAATTAGATTCTTTTGATTCTTAATTTGAAATTCAATTCTTAACTATAAAGCGGCTCTACACAAGATAATTCAGCTCATTTTGGATTAAATTCAGTTCATTAACAGTCAATGTCGCAAGAAATCATCTATTATGAAACAAATTAGATTCTTTTGATTCTTAATTTGAAATTCAATTCTTAACTATAAAGCGGCTCTACACAAGATAATTCAGCTCATTTTGGATTAAATTCAGTTCATTAACAGTCAATGTCGCAAGAAATCATCTATTATGAAACAAATTAGATTCTTTTGATTCTTAATTTGAAATTCAATTCTTAACTATAAAGCGGCTCTACACAAGATAATTCAGCTCATTTTGGATTAAATTCAGTTCATTAACAGTCAATGTCGCAAGAAATCATCTATTATGAAACAAATTAGATTCTTTTGATTCTTAATTTGAAATTCAATTCTTAACTATAAAGCGGCTCTACACAAGATAATTCAGCTCATTTTGGATTAAATTCAGTTCATTAACAGTCAATGTCGCAAGAAATCATCTATTATGAAACAAATTAGATTCTTTTGATTCTTAATTTGAAATTCAATTCTTAACTATAAAGCGGCTCTACACAAGATAATTCAGCTCATTTTGGATTAAATTCAGTTCATTAACAGTCAATGTCGCAAGAAATCATCTATTATGAAACAAATTAGATTCTTTTGATTCTTAATTTGAAATTCAATTCTTAACTATAAAGCGGCTCTACACAAGATAATTCAGCTCATTTTGGATTAAATTCAGTTCATTAACAGTCAATGTCGCAAGAAATCATCTATTATGAAACAAATTAGATTCTTTTGATTCTTAATTTGAAATTCAATTCTTAACTATAAAGCGGCTCTACACAAGATAATTCAGCTCATTTTGGATTAAATTCAGTTCATTAACAGTCAATGTCGCAAGAAATCATCTATTATGAAACAAATTAGATTCTTTTGATTCTTAATTTGAAATTCAATTCTTAACTATAAAGCGGCTCTACACAAGATAATTCAGCTCATTTTGGATTAAATTCAGTTCATTAACAGTCAATGTCGCAAGAAATCATCTATTATGAAACAAATTAGATTCTTTTGATTCTTAATTTGAAATTCAATTCTTAACTATAAAGCGGCTCTACACAAGATAATTCAGCTCATTTTGGATTAAATTCAGTTCATTAACAGTCAATGTCGCAAGAAATCATCTATTATGAAACAAATTAGATTCTTTTGATTCTTAATTTGAAATTCAATTCTTAACTATAAAGCGGCTCTACACAAGATAATTCAGCTCATTTTGGATTAAATTCAGTTCATTAACAGTCAATGTCGCAAGAAATCATCTATTATGAAACAAATTAGATTCTTTTGATTCTTAATTTGAAATTCAATTCTTAACTATAAAGCGGCTCTACACAAGATAATTCAGCTCATTTTGGATTAAATTCAGTTCATTAACAGTCAATGTCGCAAGAAATCATCTATTATGAAACAAATTAGATTCTTTTGATTCTTAATTTGAAATTCAATTCTTAACTATAAAGCGGCTCTACACAAGATAATTCAGCTCATTTTGGATTAAATTCAGTTCATTAACAGTCAATGTCGCAAGAAATCATCTATTATGAAACAAATTAGATTCTTTTGATTCTTAATTTGAAATTCAATTCTTAACTATAAAGCGGCTCTACACAAGATAATTCAGCTCATTTTGGATTAAATTCAGTTCATTAACAGTCAATGTCGCAAGAAATCATCTATTATGAAACAAATTAGATTCTTTTGATTCTTAATTTGAAATTCAATTCTTAACTATAAAGCGGCTCTACACAAGATAATTCAGCTCATTTTGGATTAAATTCAGTTCATTAACAGTCAATGTCGCAAGAAATCATCTATTATGAAACAAATTAGATTCTTTTGATTCTTAATTTGAAATTCAATTCTTAACTATAAAGCGGCTCTACACAAGATAATTCAGCTCATTTTGGATTAAATTCAGTTCATTAACAGTCAATGTCGCAAGAAATCATCTATTATGAAACAAATTAGATTCTTTTGATTCTTAATTTGAAATTCAATTCTTAACTATAAAGCGGCTCTACACAAGATAATTCAGCTCATTTTGGATTAAATTCAGTTCATTAACAGTCAATGTCGCAAGAAATCATCTATTATGAAACAAATTAGATTCTTTTGATTCTTAATTTGAAATTCAATTCTTAACTATAAAGCGGCTCTACACAAGATAATTCAGCTCATTTTGGATTAAATTCAGTTCATTAACAGTCAATGTTGCAGAATTCATCAATTATGAAACTAATTTTGATTCTTCGATTCTTAATTACGAAATTCAATTCTTAACCATAACGCAGCTCCACAGAAGACAAAAGTGTCATAATTCAGCTCAATTCAATTCATTAACTTTGTCAATGTTGCCGTTATTCAATTATAAATGTTGATTCTTAATTCGAAATTCAATTTCAGCGGTAAAGCAGCTCCACAGAAGACAATAGAGTCATTATTCAGACCAATTCAGTTGTAGTTTGGTTCTCATAGTGTCAGATCGATCATATTTCTGAATCAAATCATACAGATAGACTCGAGCGTTTATTTCTGCAGAAGATCTCTCATCGTGTCAGTTTCTTTATTTTTTCCGTGCGGATTCGTCTGAGAGCGAACGCTGCTCTGCTGTTTTAAGTGTTTTATTTCAGAGTGTGTTATTGATATTTTATTGATATGATCATGAAACTTTCACAAACGGGTCACATGTGCACTTACAGTGTCTGAGGAGAGTGATTTCTACAGGACAGACGTGCGCTAATAATTGATGGGATGCTTTTATCGCCGTTTCTTCCTCTGTTTCAGCGTCTGCAGGACGTGTTTGTGGAGTTCAGCCATCAGGATCTGCTGGACTTCTACAATCAGGTCAGACTGAATCCCACGTGTTTCCTGATCTTCAGCACGTTCAGTCGCTCACGGCTCTGTGTGTCTTACAGATGGAGAGGATTCAGACTCAGCTGGACTCGCTCAGCTGATGCGGCCTCCGTCTGCCGTCCCATGATTCCTCTGGTGGCGTCAGCAGCTGTTTGGTGGTTCAGTCGTTGAACACTCGTCTCTGTCTGTGGTTGTTTCTGGATTTGTAATGCGAGGCTGAAGCGCTGATGTGTTCATGAACGCCATCAAGATCCGTCACACATCTGATGATGTTTCATTAAAGATGCTTTTGCTCTGAAGGTCCAGCGTCTGTATTTATGACTTTTCTCTCAGGGTTTCTGAAGTTAAATTCAAGACTTTTTAAGACCAAGTAAAGAAAATTTAAGGAATAAATTGAATATAAATCAATACGTCAATATGGTCTCTAAATGTAAATGTCTTGTATTTTCAAACACTTCAAAGTTCAAAGAAAATACAACAACTTATTACTTTATAATTCATTTTACGGAAAAAAAAAGTTCGCTCTCAAATACTAAAATACGGCAGTAACTTGTTTTGTTTGCAATACAAACACCAAAACAATTAGTCATTTACCTAAGATATAAAATAACTTAAAATCATAAGCCTTCCTTTATAAGAAAATTGATCAAAATGAGTTTATGATTAAAACAAGAACAAATATCTGCCAATGAGCTCAGAAAAATAAACGTAATTCAAATGAAAAACAAGTTTTCATTCCTCATCGACAGATATTTATTCTTGTTTTAATCATAAACTTCAATTTCTCAGAAAACATCTGAGATCTCAGCGTCTCTAGTAAATGTGTCTTGATTTAAGGATGCTTAATATTTGAACTGGAGAACAAGACAGAAATACTGAGGAAGAGATTCATTTTTTGCAGTTCGTGCCAGCATTTAATGTCACAACTTTATTAATTTAAGAGTTTCTGCTCTGATTTAAGTGAATGATGGCCTGCAGAAACGCTGTTTTCGGTCTCTCAGACGTCTCTCTGACAGAATCTGTAGCGCTGGAAGTGTTAATCGAGCGGCTGATGCTGGAGAAGATCTGGCTCAGATGATCTAAAGCGGCTAACAGGACGATGAGCGAGTCCCTCGTGAAGACTCGTCAGTCAGCAGGTGCTTCTGTGTCCGTGTGCTTCATCTTCTCTTGAAGTGCACTCACTGTGTGATGCGCAGATCGCTGAACAGATGGCGAGACGCTCGGTGCTGCGAGACTCCAGCAGAGACCAGCAGAACACAGAGTTCTGGAGGAGCGAGCCGATCACAGGCCGTCTGGACTCGACACGGAGCTTCATCTAGTGACTGCAGACGCTCCAGATGTGAGCTGAAGCTCTCAAACAAACACATTCTTACGCTAAACTCAACATGAACTCATAATCGACTATTAATCGAGTGCATTAACACCTCATGTTCCTGGTCTTATCGTACAAAAGAAAATTGTTTTTGTCCTCACAATTTTTCGTCAAAGTCTAATGACTGGATGTCCTCTACACTCGTAAAAAGTCAAAGAGAGACACTTTTGAGATCAGTTTTTCTTAGTGTAAATGATATTTTAATCTTTTGTGCGATGGAAACGTTCTATGGATGTTTGGTTGTTCTTCATGAAACCATCAATGCCAATGAAGAAGCTTTATTTTCACGATTGTAGGCCGTATGGATGTTGATGTGGATCAGTAAATCGATATTTAAAGTCTTTCTAAAATCTGGCGAGTAGTTAAAGTTGCAGTCCAGTCATGTTTATTTGTACAGTGCTTTTGACGATGCACATTTAGAGAAAGTCGTACTGATGCTAGGACACACACCTGAGCGTTAAATAATCATTTAGATGTTTAGAAAGGGCACAAAATCAGTTTCCAGAACCTTCTCGTTCACTGTTCTTTGTCTTAAAATAATAAACTTTGAATAAAACTGTCTGCTAAATGAATAAACGTAAACGTAGATAGTGATGGTTTCGTCCCATACAGTAAAAACAAAGAAATTATTTCTGACCAACATACATTTTAAATATATGCTGTAAACAGTGAATCTCAATGAAATATATTTTGGCATATGATGGTTAAAACTAAATATATTTAAATATTTCAGAATATATTTCAGGGTAAGAAAATACATTTCCAATCTCTTGCAATAGCCTAGATTTAGACTAAATACAAATATGAAAGGAAAAGCCTATAGAGGTCAAAACTAAATTAATAATTTTTTAAAAGTGTTTAATTTTTATGTATATTGCACTATTCTTTGGAACACTGTGAGATCTGAGTACAACCAAACGACGGATCTCTGCTTTCCCTTACCAAAAAATTAGTATACTTCAAGTTTATTTTAGTAAGTATACTTAAGTATCAAGTATACTTAAATTACATTTTAATTATATTTCTGAGAAGTACATAAAAAGAAGACTAAAAGTATACTTTCCTATTTTTAGTTTAAAAGAAGTATACTAATAGCACACTTGAATAAACTTCTTTTTCGTAAGGGTTAAGAAGACCAGAAACATAAAGATCACATCGTTCACGCCTGAAGTGTAGGATAAACTACACATATGGCTGATTAATTGTGTTTCTTATTGAAGAAGAAATCTGCAGGAATGCATCGGCTGAATGATGCTTTTAGTGTGTTATCAAGTGACTGAGGACAATTATTTAGAATCAAGAGTTGAGAAAACTCATAAATCTGCCCTGGTTTTTAAACTTTTCTCAATAATTGCTCTTTTCCAGTGAATTAAATCACATTCTCTGAAAACAAGCTTTGATATCTCAAGCCGTGCTGCTCCTCTAGCACATTTATCTCAGCCTTTTTGATATTTTAACTGGAAAACAAGATAAAAAGGACTAATTAAAAACTGATCTGGGTCATTCTATCAGTGAAGTGTCTCCTAATAAACACATCATGTTTGGATGAATCGTAATGAACCTCCGGAGAAAACACGGTTCCTCAAATCCTGAAGCGGAGCGACTCGCATCAACAGATGAGCTCTAAACGGATTAAAGCACAAATCACCCCAAAACCAGCATTCTCTCATTATTTATTCGCCCTCATGTCGATCCAGACCATATGCTGTTAGTTTCTGTGGGGAACTTCAGTTGGTTTTGGAGCTTGAGGTCACTGTGAGCGTTTGAGAGAGAGATTTTTAGCAAATGAAGACTGAATCGAGATGTGAGTGAGTTTCTGTCAGTGTGTGTGATTGTCGAAGCGTTTCTGAGTCTGAAGACAAACGCAGATCTTTGTGTGAAACTGGATCCGCGAGACGGATGGAGAAAATGTGCAGCCGTGGGATTTTCCTCATGGATTTGTGGGCACCTGGATTTGGGAAACAGGATTAGCGGGTGTGTGATTATAGCTGCTGTAGGGTGTGTGTGTGACACAGAGAGAGAGAGAGAGAAACACTTTGCTCAGTTTAAAGAATTCACGAATTCTGCCCTAATTTTAGAGTTCTTGGCTGTGCTGGAATATGAAGGAGGATCTTCTGCTGATTGCACCGGAGAAATCCTCTTTCATCCCAGCCAGCTTTATTCGGACAGACAATGGTTTGTGTTTTAATGCCCTGATGATGCACGTTATGAGTGCTGACAGATCAGCTCGATGGAAATCTTCATGTCAGTCTGTGATCCGATGGTACAATCCCGTCTGCTGGCACTCTGAGGTCACAAACTTACTAAAACAATAGCGGCCGAGCATGCGCCTGATTCATGTGAACGCGTCTCGAGGGCAAGAGCAGCATAAACGAAGAGAGAAAAGAGAAAGAATTGAGTCGAGAGCCGGAGAGAAAGAGCCAGTGTTTGTGAAGAATGGAGGACGAGCCGTTCGGCTCCAAGATACTGGAGAGAGAGAGAGAGACGAACACTGAGATCACTGAGGAGCTTCACAATGACCCTTCAGCCGCTCGTAATGGTTTTTATACTGTACAGACTGTATAATCTATTGCCCTACACCAACCCTACCCCTAAACCTACCCCTCACAGGAAACTTTGTGCTATTTCAGATTTTCAATACACTCCATTCTGTGTGATTTATATGCGTTTTGAAAAGTGGGTACATGGGGTAATCACACACACACACACACACACACACTGAAACACACACACACACACTCACTCACTCACTCACTCACTAAAACACACAAACACACACACACACACACACACACCACAGTAAGGAACAACATCACAATATAGTAATTCTGCCTCAAATCAGAAACGTTACTAATTTAAATTAAAGCCTATTTGCAATATTGTTGCTTAAATGCCTTTAGATTTAGAAAATTTAGAAAATGTTAAACTCATGCCAGACTCGTTGATTACTAGTTTTCACTTACAACAACTGATTGTATCTTCATTGACGCTTTTTGAAAATTTAACACTCTGGCTTAGCTTCTCGCAGACAAATCGAGAGAAGCAGATATCATTCAAATAAAATTTATACTGCAGTTCAATCTGAATGGAATCGACACTGAACTGATCCGAATAAGGAATTTATTGTCTTTAGAGCTGCTTTACAGCACAATCTGAATTTGTCTCATATTTGATGAAGTTTCCATTGATTCTGTTATTTTCCTGTTTATCTCTGTGAAGCTGCTTTGACACAATCTGTACAAAGCACTGTAGAAATAAAGGTGAGTTGACTTGACTCTTCATTGTGTTTGGATGCAGGAATCACAGATCAGATGACGTCTGTGTCTCAGTTCTGGTAAAAGATGTTTTCACTGCATGATGATGATCACTGCAGTACATCAGCTTCTCTTCTTCTCAAGGTGAGGGAACATCTGTGTGTGTGTGTGTGAGTGTGAGTGTGTGTGTGTGTTTGAGTGTGTGTGTGAGTGTGTTTGTGTGTGTGTGTGTTTGAGTGTGTGTGTGTTTTCACCTTGCGTTGTCAGCATGGTTATGAAAGTGGGCGGGGCCGCATGCAAATCATGTCACAGCTGCAGGACACCTGAGATGGAGGGGGAGGAGCTTGTTCATTATGGATGAAGCAGCTGCTGCTCTCGTTTCAGCTTCACTAACCTACATACATGAGAACACACACACACACACACACACACACACATTAGCTGTGACATCACTTCCTCCCGCTGACCTCTCCAGGGATCCTCAGTGTCATGAATGAGCGTCTAACCTCTGACCGCTGTGTCAAATGGTTGAGACTTTCACTGAAATCAAATGCTGAGCGCTACATGAACATATATTCACGTAAACTCATATTCCACTCTGGTATGTTCATGCATTTCAGATGAAGCATTAATATTTTAAAAGAGGAATAGTACTATAAGTGATCCTGTAAAT